CCGACGGTAACAGGTGTGAAAAGCTCATAAAAGCGAGACAGGCTGCACGGTGAAGAGACGGCGGCGGGGGATCCGTGAGTGCTTCGTACACTAATAAAATATCGATAAGGCGTCTGAGCGCCCGGTCTACTTTTATTATTCATATTCGGGCGAGAAAGCTTACAATTATAAATCCTGATTAATTTACTTTTTTATCGGTTCATCAAACATTTATGATGGATGAAGTTTCCGAGCGAAGTCCACGGATGAACGACGTTATAAATCATGCAGTATCGGAATATATATCGCTCGGCTGGTGCGCAGTATGTATTTCAATCAATATTTGCACCAAAGAGATTAGCAAAAAAAAAAAAAAAAAAAAAATATGAAGCAATATGCGCACAATCTCGTTATGTACGAACTGCAGCAGCAGCGTCGTATCTCTCGCCCGGGAGAAGAGAAGCGGAAGAAAAACACAAAACGGGATTGAAAGTGGGTCGAGAGACGGCCGATGGGCGATGATAAACGAGAGAGGACTAGAACGCGGTGAGGCGAATGAGAAATAATGCGATTCTTGCGTGCGTGTTGCGCGAAGACGCCAAGGACGCCGCAGCGCTTGGTCGCGAAAAAGATGAAGAGAAGAAGAGCAGAGAGGAAGACACCAAAAAGAATCTTGACGAGCAAAACGCGAAAACGGAATCTCGAGGCAGGCTCTCATGCCTCTTCTTCTGGTTTCGCGCGCGGTAATTTGTCAGCCGGGCGAATACATGCCGAGAGATAACGGCGAAGTTTCGCAGACGTTCCGAAAACTCGTGCTTGACAAATGTGAGATCGGCACGACGCGCTTTCGGAAAACGCGCGTTTTGTATGCGTACAAATGGCGATCGCAACACACAAGGGATCGCGTATATGATAAGCGTACTATCGGGAAACGGGATGATCCGGATGCTGTGGTTTCGGTGCGGTCTCCGAAGAACGTGACGACCGAGTCGAGCGAACTCATATAATGTCTGCAATTTTATCTCCAAGACAATATTCGTTTTATTTTATTTTATTTTTTGTTTAATTAAACCGCAAATATCTCAGGTATTTTTGATAAAATCTGGCTAGACAATTTTCGCATATTACTCTGATGACGAAAAATCTCTTGTAGTAATGTGTTCGAGAAATCAACAATATATAGAAAATTTATACCTGAAAATAAAAACCAAAAAATAATTCGTTGCGCAAACGACGAAACCTATTATGACATGCGTATTTACAGTCGCTCCGCAGCGAGAAATACTGTGCGTAAATAGTATATTGCATAAAACGCAACTGTACATTGTGGACTGATATATGCGTCTCGACGCGCGCGCGCGCGGTGACTAATATACCGGCACAAAAATAAATATTTATTTATTATTTATAGTTATGATATATAAAACACGTATTTTAATAAAAAACCCGTGTTAATTAATGTGACGCTCCGCGCGGATATATTTCTCTAATTATACGCGCGCGTACCGCGTCGATGTAGGTCGAGCATTTTACGCGAGAGATGCGACAACGAAGAAGAACTGAGGAATCGGAAAGCAAGAGAACGCGTTGGAAAACACACGAGGGATTAATATCCTCAAATTCATGAATAAAGCGGCAACATTACCGCATATTATATCAATAGTCGGAATTGCTTGTGCGGTTATTTGCAACCTCATTCCTGTTGGCGATCGATTGTTTGCGAACGTGTGCGTTTCGTATTTACGATTGCACTAACGGTGATCAAACAATTCGCTAATTACATTCGTTAAAAGTCGTCATATAACACAAAAAAGATACGGCGAGGAAATGTGATATTTGAGGAGAGCGAACGTAAATTTTTATTATCGCGAATAAGAAGAAAGAGGCGCGAAAGCGATTCGTCACGTCGCCGGAGGAGTGTCCTCTGATTACGACGATGACAAATGGCAGCGTGGGAATTACGAAATGAAGGTTTAATAAGGTATGAGTCGGATCGGGAGGCCGCCGGTCACCGCCATCGCGCTCCCCGCAGTAATTAACAAATCCAATTTTAATCGACGGTTCAATTCGCTCGTCCTGCCCGGCCGGAAACGCACTCACGCGAGCCGCTCCGTACATGCAATCGTCATATCAGCACGTAAAACTGATTAGCGGTTCCCCTCGCGACGCAATTATCTCGCGCTGTCCCGAACGGCTCGTTCCCATTTTGTCACCCCGAAGTAAACAAAATAAATGCGCAAACAAAATAAATTCTTTTGTCCGCGGTCTACCGTTTTAGCTGGCGCTCGGGAAACTCGGTCCCGATATGATGACAATTGAACTCCTCGTCGTCTATTGTTTAGGCTGTATGCAACACCGTTTCTTAATTATCTCGTTTGCAGTATTTATCGCAATCGCACGCACGAACTGTCTTTATTTCCATAAACTAAAAAATGTCAGATATCGATTTATTGACAGATTACGTTCCGCGCCGCGCGAGAAATAACTCGAAACATCGTAATATATCGGGGGAGGGGGGGAGGAGGACGAGACAACAACAATATCCAGCTCCCGTCCCACCGGAGCTGACCTCTTAATTACAAGTCACGAGCGTTCCTCCTCCTGTCGTTCCACATTTCGCTTTCCCACGCGAAAGAGAAAAATCGGATAACGCGCTGCGGTGTGTGTTACGATCTACGCGCGTCGTCACCGAAAATCGCCACTCAAATTGGAGCATCGTATCACCCGCATTTGAAATTCCTATTCACAAGCACGCACGTTTTTCGACCTTCTGTGTGCGGTTCGAAATCGGCTCAATCGAAAAATCGAATGGACGCGCGGGCAAAGCGCGCAACGTATCCCGCGCGATTTGCTGGATTGTAAAACAAAGCGCGACGTTCAACACGCTTTGGTGCAAGCATGCAGGTAGTGGCGGCTGTGTGTGGCGGATATTTTTACATTTTTTTTTTTTTTTTGTTTCTCGTTCATGTACACTGCGTATCGTGTACGCAGCGTGCACGTTAAGTTCGCCATGTTGTTACACAAACGCATAAAAAACCTTACCCATCTCTGTATAATACGCGAAAATATAATTCAGTAATGGCCGTCTTTCATTTTAGCGCTTTGTATCCAAAAAAACAAAAAAAAAAGTGAAGCATTAAAAGCTGTACTCCCGAACGCGCTGCTTGATACGGATAAACGCGATTTATTCCCGTGTTCGTGTAACGGGAACGTAAACGTGAGCGAAGTTGAATCTTCGTTTTCTCTCGCGTTGTTTTAATGTATATTAATTGTGTGCGCGCGCGCGTTGGGGGAGGGAGGAGGTTTATTTCGAAGTATTAAATTTTTGAAGTATCCGACATGTGTATATAAAAAGCCATTTCCGCGCTCGCAATAGTTTCCGTTCCCACGAATACGGCCTTTACACGTGTAATACCTTCGATCTATATACACGGTGGTCGTTTTCACACGCGAAGATGGATTAGCGCACGCGGCGCTCTAAGCGTCACATGCACGTGCGCGTAATTGTGTAATCGCGTTCTAGTTGACGGGCACATCGACACGCGCGATATATTTACAGTTTATTGCCGCCGTGCGTTTACGGACGATATTATAGTACGGGGACGCGCACGTTTTAATGGATGCCGAGATTGCGGTGTACCGGTTGTGTTGCCGCGCGCGACCGTTTGGTTCGGTAAATTAAATTTGATTGGTCAAACTACATTTGTATACGTGTAGATACGCATATGTATACATATATTTTGTCAGGACACGACACTAAGGCTACGTAATGTCCTATGTACGTATTAAAGTATGATCGATTATAATTTCCGATCGCGGCGTGCAATAACGATCAAACCTAGATCTGCCAACTGTGTTGTGTGCCAAATGCGTGTGCAGCATTCAACGCCTCCGGTGATTCAACAACGTAACTGACATACATTCGTAATTCTATGATAATGATGGTTAAGGGGAGGTTCTAGTCAAAAGGTCCGAAAATTAACGCATTTTCATGATTTTTTTTTTGAGCAAACGTAAATGTTTTTTGAAAAAACTTTTTATTGTATTTATTAGTACATATTTGAAAATATAAATAATATTTTTTCCCCCCCAAAGAAATCAAAATGGCGGCTCCAGCCCTCACTGAATAAAGCCGTGCGCGGCAATAAGCAATGTGCGCTGCACACTCTACGGTTCTGCCAAGTGATCTAAAACAAAAAAACCAAAATTATTCTTAAAATAGATGAAATTTGGGGGGCCTTATGATTTCCAGATTTTTAAAAAACTCTTTTAAAAAGATCTGACGGTCATTACAAAAAAGAAGACCCTTTTTCCTGTTTTTTTTTGTTTTGCTTTAACGTTAAAAAAACAATAATAAACAATTTTAAAAAAAAAACGCTTCCTGAAGGCCCCCTAAATTGAATAAGCTTTAATTTGAGCCGTCAAACATCGAAATCGGTTAAGTCGTTGAAGCGGAATCGTGTGCGGCGCGCAAAAAAAAGTTGTTTTGAGAAAAACGCGTCTAAAGTTTGAGGAAGAAAAAATCGTAAGTAATGTTTGTTTTTTGACACTTACATCTAGATGATCTCTCATCATAATCAGCTATTCCAGCACCATACAGGGTTCCTTCCTCATCCTCGAAGAGCATGTTTTGCTGCACTTGGGCGTTAATTTTTTCAATTCTGGCCCTTTTCATCAACTCTGACTCACTCGCGTTCGCTGACTTGACGCGCTCTTCGTCAGTCTTTGCAGCGAAATTTCTGCTGCTTTCAATAAATTATATAGGGAAATATCCTTTTGGCTACACATTTTCAAGACCCTAAGGATGAAAATAAAGCAAAAAAAAAAAAAAATTTTTTTTCCGATTTTGACTAGAACCTCCCCTTAAACAAAATATTAATTTTAATTGTATGTTTACACAAACGCGAATACAATATATATACATGTAGTTTAAAAACAAAGGTTTACCGCGCGCACAACAGCTTTCGTAAACATGGTAATTCACTTATCTCATCACGTGCAAACATATCTGTGTTTCGCAGAACGCCACATCTCCCAATGCCAGCAGCGACGCTCTCACGAAGCAGCTGGAATTCATCCAGCAGATCATTCAGCAAACGCAGCAACAACCGCCGGCGACAACCACGCAGCAACAGCAACCGCAGCAGCAGCAACGAAGCACCACGTCTTCGACAGCGGTAGGCACGCAGATACAAAAGACACAAAAACCGTCCATCAAATCCACCGCCTCGCCCGGCAACATCTCCAGCAATTCCGGAAGCGGGAACGCGACCAGCAATGCGAGATCGAGTCCGAAGCCGAAGATCTGGAGTCAGGTGAGAAAATAAAAATCAAAAAGCCGATGTATTAGTTAACGTCGAACCGAGCGTATACGATAGCATAGTAATTACGTTTGGTACTTAGAAAGTTTATGATAACAATCTTATCATATACTCACAATAAGACGATTTTTTTTCTCTCTCGGTTATCGTTTGTTATCTCAATTATCTCGATCAAAGGATGCCGTATCGATGAACGATCGCGATCTGGTCGACGGATGCGCCAGAGAAAACCGTGCGATGCAGTTCGTACATTCTATACGACTTTATTACGCGCCGCACAACGAGATCGTTCGAGATATAGCAGCCGAAAGCAATAAGTCCGAGTACCCCCGAACTACTTTCCGTTGAAAAGGCCCTTCTTCCGCATTAGGCAGAAGTATTACCGGGCCAAGATCCCGTGTACACGGCTCGTTGAAACTCGCCGTAGTAATCTTTTGTGCGGCGAATATACCGCAAATCGCATTACGTATCGCGACCGGGACTGATACCCAGAACTCGTAATCCTCCGCGCCCGTGGACTCGTCGAATATTATACGGAAACGCGAAACACAGCGAGATATCCGCGCGCGGGAGATAGGCGGCCGCCATTTTCCGATTCTACGAGCTGTGTTGGGAATGTCATAAAGTAAACGAGATCGAAATGATTTTGATGCGTCAGGAGAGAGAGTTGAATTAAATCAAAGTAATCTTTTTATATGGATTTTACGCTTTTAAAAATATTGACACAGCGTATGTGTGTGTGTGTGTGTGTGTTTGTAAAAAACTATTTGTGTGTGTGTTTGTAAAAAAAACTATTTAAAAATTATATTCTATAAGCTTATATTCTTTACAATTGTTTTCATCGATTATTCTGTACTTTCGCGGGGCGAATATCGCGCGCTACTGAAATAAGCGGTCGATCCGGTCCCGCGAAAACGAGTTCAACAATTGCCGCTTCGCGGTAAAACACATTTGCGCGGGCACGTAACTTTAACCCTATTCTCGTCGAATTACATGGTGTTCGCTTGATAAAATCGCGCGAATTGCTAATTGGTCTCGCTCGCTGCCTTTTATATCCCAGTCCTTCCGGCTGTCCGAATCTTCGGCGATCAAAAGGACGGTGACATCGGTGAAAGGTGCCTTTGAGCGAACCTTTTCACGGCTCGGCGCATCGAACACTGCAGGATTTTCTTCTGACGGTTCTTTTCGTCCTTCGGAGAATGGCGTGTGATTAGCGTGGAGCAGTCGGAAGTAGAAATATCTCGCTTTTTCGACGATCCAATATCTGGTCTTTTGCTACAATAAGTGTTATATGTTTAATTATTATTAATATATAAAAGCCGCTTCTCTGCGAGATGATCTTTCTCTTTCCATTATCGAGCGGGAAAAGCGCAGTTGTATATCTTCTGCCCTACACAAACACACACACACACACACACACAATGACTGTTGTCCGATGAGAAATATTAATCAGCGGGTCTTCGTACTCGTCGAGTGTTAGCACAAGGAACTCGCCTCTTCGACGTACAAACATATCAACCGTATGCCCAGCGCGTCAGCTGCATCGACCCGGTAATGATGACTTAACGTGCCTAGCCTGTCTAATAAACTGTTTACCGTCTCGTTTCTGAATCGTGTATAAAATAATACTATCGTATAGCTAACGATTTTAAACATAAGTTGATTAAGTGATCGCTTCAGTGATTACTCCATTAACGAACGTATTATCTTATTAGCAACTGGCACGCAAACTGTAATGGCTGTCGTAATAACGATGCGGCGACCGATGACTGCACGGTTTATTACGTGGCTCGACCACCGCGACTCTGTAATGAAGTATATACGTTTGCCTATATACGATAGTAGTATCGATCGCGCGCGCGCGCGTATTTGGCGTAAGAAAACGTACGCGCAGTCCATCATCAAAGATTCCCGGTTCTCGCTTGTATTTCAGTGCGTTTTTCCGCGACGGGACCCGTCGCCAGCGCGCACCTCTCTACCACCACCACCACCACCGGTGGTGTTCTGCGCCATCTAACTTCATTACGTTAATGGCATAATAACCATTGCGGGCGGCCCGAAGAGCTTATGCGCCGGAACGTCGATGTCCCTAAACACAGCAAGAAGCGAGCGCGCAGTAAAATCGATCCGATCTCCATTAATATGTATGAGGTCTTCGCCAATGGACGCGGAAGGGCTGAAGGTGCTGGATTGGGGGGGGAGGGAGGGGAGAAACGAGATGGGGATATACCGGGGATTCGTACTCTCTTCTTACCACCGCCGCCGAACACAAGCCCGGCGATCGCGAAATGCTCTCGGAAACCGTCGTAATTGCTTAGGAACTCGAGGACGAACGGGATTCTTCGGGATCTACATCGCGATGAAGGGGAATCCCGCATGTAGAGCGAACTCGGCAAACTCGATTTAATTGCGATCCCTTACGCTATTACGTTACGGTTGCGAGCGTTGCCCCATTGTTCGCTCGCACAATGAAAACGCGCGCGCGCGCGCATGCCGAGAGAGAACAGTTGCAGTGCGAGATATACTTTCGCAACCGCCCGTTAATTCTTCTTTTAAATATTTATTGAGTAAGATAATGGTAAATAAGTACAGTATCTGTGCGTTATTCAGTAATTTCCGAAAGAGAAAAGACACAAACGCTTGAACAAGAAACTCCAAAACTTATACCGCCGTCTCATCGGTAATGCAAGACGAACAGTAAAGATGAAGTCGTCAGGTTGTATATTTAGCTTTCTGTGTCAATTTTATGCTCGTGTGTCTATGTGATACCGTACAGACACGTTCCGACCATTATCCGTCGACTTTATTATCGCACTGCGAGAATATTTTCCCGCATTTGTGCACCTCACGATCCGTTTCGTTCTAAACAGTTCCGACTACAAAGTGCGCGCGAGGGTAAAACACAGATTCGCGCATTTCATTCACGTCACATCGGAAACAACAAAACTTCGTTATGACGTAATCTTATTCGTCGTCTTATCTGAGAGCGGAACGTAACGTCTTTTTTTTATTACACGTATGGAAAAGCGAATAAACGTAGTTACAACTTGCGCTGCTACTACTACGTAGCTGCTACTACAGTTGTTACCTTCACTGCAAATTACATTCCGGCTTCTTCCGGGCCGCTATTGCATCACAAACAGACGCGCGCGCGCGCGCGCGTTATATTTATGGATTTGCATTACGAATATCGATGACAGGTCGCCGAGAGTATTTGCGAACACACGGCGCGCATTGTTCACGCCAGTCACATTCTGAAAGCGCGCATAATACGCTAATTCGTGCCGTCCTTCGTGTTCGACGATGACGACGACGGCGACAGCATGAAACATAACTACTGCGCGATTACGATGATGCGAACCGCGTGCTAAATCCGATTATATTTAGCCTTCTTACACTGCCTGTTGCGATCCACAACATCGTAAACATGTCCGTGGTTTGCGACAGTAAATTTACACCTGTGTGTGTGTGTGTGTGTGTGCGTGTCTTCTTGGCGCACGATAGTGCGCATGCGAATCGGACGAAAATGCATCCGGAAGGCACCGTAGTGAAATTTCGTGTGCGAGTCGCGTCGCAAACATGCGATTATCTTGGATTTATGGATTGTGACATGAAGCGTGTGCTCGCGCGCAAAGGACAGCACGAGGAAACGTGTACATAGAATCTCGTCGTTGGTTGCGAACGTAACCGACGCGACCGACGGGTTCTTAGTCATCTCGCGACGATGAAGTCTCAGCCGCGAATAGTGCAATCTCGTGTACAGCCGCTTTGACATAGCGCGCGCTCGAGGGGTGTCATCTCGTATACAGGCGTGCATCGACATCGCGTCAGAGCACTTGGTATTATACATGTCATCACGTTAAGTTTAAGATAAAAATATATTACAATTTTGTAAACTATAACTTATTCTCGTATTGAAAAAAAAAACAACTAATAAATTAGACCGCGCGTTTGACTGATTGTAAAATCAGAAAAATGAAACTTTTTGTACAATACTTGAGATTTTCTTCGTAGATTTGTTTACTCTGTGATCCGTAACGCCTTTTAAGTTATAATTTATATTTTGGTTATTTTTATTTTATCAAAGATAATTAAAATTTTTTACCCAATTATTGTATTTTGTCAAAAAATGGGGAAGGGAGCGTGTGAGATCGAAAGCATGAATAATGTCAGACGTGTGTCACTCAATGTGATCTTGACTTTTTACGAGTTTTTCAAGCCGTGTAGCACAAACGGCGTACGTATTCCTCGGATACGACACACACATCCCGGCGATATCAAAACCGGTACGACGTCGTAACTGTACAACTGCCGGGTTATAAGCTTTGGGTTCCGAGCCACTCTCGCGACAGCTACTTGTTACTTACGTAAATATTCGCATAACACACGTGCGCGTTCCGTAGACTTCGGTTCATTACGTTTATGAGATGACACGTACATATATTAAACGCAGGAGTATTAAATGCGGCGCGCGCGCGCGCGCGTTCATATTACTTTAGTATAGAGCTAAAGTGTCAAATGTACGGCACTTGCTTCTCGGATATACAGAAACGCAAACAGTGTTCGCAAAACACATTCAACTAAATTTCTGTCGTATCTCTTCCATGTCTACTCGCGACGAGAAATTTGGTCTAAAATTGAGGTTACACATCGAAACACACGCGGGTGTGTTTATCTTAATATTATAGAGAAAATACAGAAGTAAGTAGTTACAAGCTGACAAGAATAGCGATTGCGGTAGTGTTGCGCGTCTCCTCGCGGCACGGCATAAATAATTTAACAGGTAACTCCGCAAGGATGTAATCTGTATCTTCGCGAAATTGCGGAAGTCTAAAAGTTGAGCTTCTCAATTATGAAAGATCGCTGGTGCGCCGCTCATTGTTACAACGGCGGTCGGAATATAGCCAAGGCGGCGGCGTTGTATCTGGGCGAAAGTTACGGGGATGTTTCGTTAGCGCGCAAAAATTGAAAATTTTTACACGATTGCTTGCAGC